ATATGGTCGATTTTTGTAGCTTCGTACAAGATGGCCCGATATGGGTCAAATCTGTAGCATCGTACGTGATTGGACTCGCATTACGTTGGAGAAAGGACTTGTCGATCGTTGACCGCAAAACCAGAGATTGTCGCTAGACAGCAATGACGACAATGTTACGTTGTTATTGTTACCGAACCTAGAAACATTTGTCTCTTCAGTAGGAAGAAATTATTCTTAAGAGATTGAAACTTGACCACTTGGCTATTAACAATAGTGTTTGATCGAGGGTTGTTTCTTAACGCAAATTTATTCCTCATTGAATCGTCTAGCTTAAATACTATTTTGTTTAATTCATTTCGAAAGCTCTTTTGCTTTTGGAGCCTCAATCAAAGAGATGCGAGTCAGTTGTCCAGATAACTGCAATCCAGTTATTTAGATGCGTAAATTTGTGTGTTCAACTAGCTGAAAATAGGGAATGCCCATTTCCCTCGTCGAACTTTGTACACTCGAATGAATATAACAAACTCCATTCGGGACAACCTAAAGACATGCTCTGTCATCTATCTAGTCGTTGATTCGCTAGTACCAATACTTTACATTAATTATATACATGCAAGATGCTGTTCATATAGAATCAGTCTTAGTAATACATTCTTGACCCATTATTATATGACCGTTTTTTGTTATTATTTTTCGATTACGTTCGCTATAACCGTAGGAACTGTAATAAAAAAACCAGATTAGAAAATGCAAAATATAGTGCTAACTAAAATCAGGCAGTAGCGCAAACACGTTATGTACACTCATTATAATCTTTAACTACCAAAAAGACCAACGTCTTTCTTCATATCCAAATTCTTTCCTACTTACCGACAATAACAATGACGATAAAAAATCCCACGAGTCCCCAAAGAAGCCACCGTTTTTTTGTCGGATGCCTATACCAAGGTACCTCTGGTTGCCATGAATTGACACCCTCGTCGACACTACGGGTCTCATATGCGGCCAATTCTAAATCATCAGTAATGCGAGAGTCCTTGGTTAATTTTCTTTCATCAAGAGGAATTGCTATGATAGAACAATGTATTAGTGAATGCAACGTCTTTCATTAAGCCCAGATATACTACGGGAAAAGTGACATCTTGTCTTCTGCTACATACTAGGGCGTAATACATGTTCATGTTCATGCCTTTCTATTTCGCTTGTTATAGTTTCTCCTGTCTTGGACTCGGCTTGATCAGACATTTGTGTTGTCAGGCTGTCTTTGTTTATCGCTTCGACCTTCTTATATTACACATGATTTCAATCACACGGGCTAATTAAATCAGCGTATCTCGCAGCGGACAGAATATAAAAAAGCATGATCATGTGAAACTCGTAACCTTGTTTAAGTCAGGTCACAAAATCAACCAATCAGGTTACGTATTCAACATCAGGACATAATAATAAATCAGGCCACATGAAAATAAATCAGGCCACATAAAAATAATTAAATGCGATCAGCCCACAAAATTAACAAAGGATAGATGCTTGTGACAGTTTTAGAACTTGCAATATAATTCGGCACTTGCATGAATGGTCGAAAAGTTTCGCAATGTGGCCGTCCACGTCTGAATCACACTACCCAGTCGATTCAGTCGAGTTAAGAATCGGGTTTTAGACGAAATATGACAAGACAAACTTGTAACACATAATAATAATAATAATCATTATCGCAAAACTGGCGCCTTAATGGTTATCAAACACTTTCGAATTCTTAACCACCACACTCTCAATGCAATACAACTAACAACTGTGTGATGCCTTTTCTAATGGTCAAAAAATTCGCGTCTACAACCGATATTTTTATTTAACCTTTTTTTTTCCATACCGGTTTTTGCTGTGCCCCGAAATCCAGAGAATTTTTGAATTTCTCTTTTTTTTTTCTTTCAGAACCATCACCAGGAAAAGCTTTTGTTCTGCTACTAGTGCAAATCGTCTTTTATCCTAATATTAAGAAATTTCGTCTAGGAATCGAGAGACAAAAAAAAAACTCTCTGATTCAAAAGATGTTACGAAATTTCAATTGTCTTGTTTGCTTATTATTACATAGAATGTCAAAAGATGTAGGGGAAATGAAGCGTGAGTAATTATAGTAAAAAAAAAGATTATAAATTTTTAAAGTGCTCGTAGTGATGTTGCTATAGTAATTCTTAAGGTTTCTAATTTTTTTTGTATCGTATATGGAGAATGTCTATATAAAAAAGCTTTATCATTAGGTGATGAATTTGTCAGATGGAGAAATAGTTCATTCATACTGAACGTCCACTCGATAAATCATATGTGCCAACCTATTTCCATCTCCCATACTCATTACATTCTCATCATTACTTTTTCAAGTCTAATATTTATCTATACCTCTTTTATCATATCCCCTTACTCCTTCGCCCATCAAATCCTGATCCTGCTCCCTGTCGTATCTCTCCCACTCAACGCAACACTTAATGCGGCTGTTGTTAATGCTGTCGTCGTATTTGTGTTCCACCCCAATTGCATGGTAACTTGCTGCGTTAACAACTTCCAAAACTCATTCATCAATCCTCCTCTTAGAGCGACTACCATGACTAGCCAGAAAACACCGCTTACTCTCCTCGCTATGAATCTCCGAATCATATTAGATATGTGCTGTTTTACCCTACGCTGTATGCGAAGTAACCGGTAGAGACTATGTTTGGATGAAAAGGTTTCAGGGTATTTCGAAGAGATGGATATAAGCGGTGACGTGTCTGAAGACGTGGTGACAGTATTAGAGGATGGTATGGGGGAAGGTGATGAATATAGTTCTTGAAGATAGGTATAGGATGGTGATGTGTGAAGGTTTAACGGTGTCGATGTTGATAGGTGAGTAAAATTGCTTGAGTGTGAATTGTGTCCAAATGTTTCAGATTGTAGTTGTTGACTACCATTCCCATATGCAGCAAGTCCATTATGTTTCCCAGTAAAGTTCTTCAATCCCATATCACTTCTCTGCGGTTGTGGCATATGCAATCCTGCATGTAATGCATGTCCTCCTCTTCCAGCGTCTGAAGGCGTCATTTTCAACCATGACGGAATTCCAACGTGCTCAACACCCGGCGATGCCGGACGACTGGCATATGGTGTACTCGGCTGATTATGAAACGGACTTCCCGGTCGACTGCAGTATGGTGTAACCGAGCGGGATGGTATCGGAGTCGCACGCGCGGAGAAGAAAACTTCGTGAAGAGAATCAAATGATGAGACACGAGATATGGAACGAAGATGTGGGACTGGGAAGGAAAGGATTGGTGGTGGATTGGCGTGCTTGTTAAAGACGGCGTTAGTCGACAAAGAATATCTAGTTGTGTCTTTGCCGCCGTGTTCTAGGTGAAATTATAGTAAAATCATGTCAGAATCGAGACCGTAACCATGCCATTATTGATGATAGTCACATCACGGATCAACCCGCGCAATACGTTACCAACAAAAATTTTATCTTCATCAAAATACTCGAGCAGTTCCTCTTGCGTAGGGAAAAAGATACGACTAATGGACTCTTCGGGAAGTAGACGTTTTACCAATCGCCACATGGTCGCATACGTCCAACCATAATTTAAAACAAAAACTGGTGTTATGATGCAGTTGTTGAAACAGAGAGATTTATTAGCCTGGATATTGATTAAGCAATTGTGATTGAAGAAATACAATAGACTCGTAACGTACTTGCAGAAATTGAACTAGGGTATTGATTTTTTGCCAAGTCCATCATGAATGGACCAAGTTCAAAGTCCTAGAAAGGGTTTATTGTAAAAGAAATTCAATTGATTGGTTCTCATTCCACAAATGATCAGGATCACATCGTTATTATACGCACCAAATTCGAAAAGGTGGCCTCGTTTAGATCGACAAGTACACCGTATTGCAATATAGGCTCTTTCCCCTCTCTCAATGCTTCTTTACATAAATCCCACATGTGTCTTCTCGCAACCTCGCAATTGAATATGATGTATTTTTTCATATCTTCTATAGTTGGAGACTCTGGATCACGGTTGTACATTCGAAGATTGAAGATAGCACACGGACGATTCCAGATATCCGTGCAAGAGAAGTAGAAAAGTCCAGATTCCAAGTATTGCGGATGAATGTCAGAGAGAGAAAGAGCGTCTATGTTGTTGGCAATACGCCAGCGAATGTTTTCGAGGAGATAGGAAAGAGCGAGATCGAGGTCATAGGAAGAACGACGGAAAAACCGGAAAAGAGTTCCTGGAATAAGATAATAAAGCATTAGAATGGGGGTTTTTGGTGATGATCTGGCTTTGGAATGGCAATTAGATAAAGTCGCCCTTTAGAGTACTGTCGGATTTAGACATTGAAAAAATTTTTTCCTCCAACAGTTGGCATTGTCACCACTCATCCTGCATCATACTCTCGCTCTGCGGGGTATTTCCCTACCTCTGTCCTCCATGTAATTCCTCAAACGCTCAACTTGGACAAATTCCAAGTCATACTCTTCCTTAAGTTGTGGCAATTGTTCAACAAGTGCGTCTTGTAAATCGTCGATAGATGCTTCATATTGCTTGTATAATGTATTTAATCGCTTATACTTTTCATGCAATATGTTCATTATGGGGGATATAAGGTAAGTGCGTTTATATAAAAATGTTCAGGATGTATAAAAATTAAGAGTCGGGAGAGAAAGGAATATGTGTAGAATTGTAGAAGTAATTTTATGGTCAGAGTAAGGAAGAGACAAAGGTGGGCGGTGCGTGACAAAGTGATGTTTATATTGAGTGATAGGCAAGCAGGGTGATAGTCAAATATTAAAGTAGGGTGTACATGTTAATATAAATATATAAATATATAAATCATTTGTAAATTATTAATAAATACGACATCATCGTGATGATATGTAAGATGTTTTACAAAATAGCCGTAATAGAAACAAAAAATACAATAATGTCAATATATTTATATATTAGTGTCACTGTAAATTCACCGGCTTTTGCAGTTATAGTACACAAGTACATGACCAACAGACTCTTTAACAGGTAAGGAGCTGTCAAACGTCCCAACCCGATTTTCAAAACTGCTCATTCCCATATCCATTCCATTCAATATATTTTTTTCTCGCGATGAACAGGATTAGTTGAAGTAGAAATTATCAAATGACAATGATCTGCATTTGGCATGGAGGCTCCGTTATCTTTTGCCAGGGTGAAGGTCACTATGACATTTTTAATCAGCAAAGTTTCATAAACGGCAAGTGTAATGATGTGTTTGAACATCAAATACAGTAATGTATTAACTCATATCAAGATTTGTTTTAACTTATCAATTGTATTAAAAGTGGGTTTAGATTTGATATCGATATGATAACGCAATACGAAATAAGCGCGGGTAAGTTAGGGGGGGATGGATGGGAGGATGTACTTGACAAATAAAATAAACCTATTTATGATTATTGTTATCGATAAGATAATCATCACAGGTTATCAGCACATGTCTACAACGCAGGGCTAGTTCTTTTTTACGACCGCTCTTTCCACAAGTCTCTGTTGTCTGTAATTCATCGTCACGATAACTGTACAATATAGCACGTAAATGGACCCTGCGACCTCTTTCATCCTGGCTCGCTCTTGTCACACTTGGTCGACAGCATGGAAATACTGGAAAACGCCGATTTAGATCAGCACTCATGTGATAATGATAAGAGTTTCGATTATAATTATGACAGTTAATTATGACAGTTTAACCAATACTTGTAAAATCACAATAGTTTATTTATTGTTATTATGATTGTGTTTGGCGAACCTTGTCTTGTAAGTCATTCTAGGACCGGCTAATATTGCATTCGACGTGTGCATGATATATTTGGTAATGTTGGCTAAAATACCTTATCAGCACTGCTCGGACATAAGAGGGCCAAAAAAAAGAAAGAAAAAAAAAAAAAAAAGAGAAACTTTTTTACATTGTACAACTGGTCCGCTGTTACATTGTTAATATGATCGATGCGTTGTGCACTGGCAAATGTGTAACGTATAGCAAAACGAAAGCCATAATCCGTTTTAGTAAAATAACCGAATAAAGTATAACTGGTAATGACAAGTGAAAGCCTCGCCTCATTAAAACCATTGTGCAGGCTTTCAACAATGCAAGAACATGGTCCATTTCGATTAAAAAATTTTTTTTTTCTTCCAAATCAACCAAGCCACTTGCATATTATGTTAATTATGAAGTTGGTTACAAAGCCGTGTTACCTAATTATAATATTTGCCTTGCATAAATAAACTTGTATGCAATGCCGTTGAAATACTCTGAATGTTTGCTTGGCTTTTTCTCTCTTTGTTTACCAAAGACAATAATGGGAAATCGACATGTCCTCCTCTACAATCTCTAATATTATCCAGGGTTTCGATAAATATTTGCTTCGAGAAGCCAACGTTATTCCATTTACTTCTTAGTCTATGTATGTATCGCTCACATTGGGTCCCATGATTGATCGAAATGTTTGTTTTCAAGTGCCTTTGAAATAGCCATGTTCGACTAAAGCTAACATTTTAATGTAGAGATCATAGATTATCTCCTTTCACATGTATATAATAAAGAATACGTGTAATAGTATTGTTAGCTAAGCATGTTTTGATTTTCCTTGCGGGAAAAATGATCATGTTATTTTAAAAAGTTTTCGCCACATGTTTGAATAAGATTTCGTTATCCCGTATGGAAGAATATGGTAAGACTATATCAATGAATCACATCTTATCTGAGACTCTAACCAAAACGAATGGGGTCAACAGCACATTTACGCGCCACTGACGACATTTATTTCAAATTTAGTTCGACCTTTTCCTATGTGTGCCATCATCCACAAAAGTCTCTATATGATGTTACCATCTTTTTAATATTAAAGTATTCTGTACTTTGGGTCTCGGGCTTTTAATGACCCGCACCGATTTACTATTAATGTATAACAATCCCGTGATGTGGTATCTAATTATAATGACGCTTTCCAATATCTGTATTACGGAACATTTCTCTTCATATGACTACACCCATGCGGCGCTGGAACCTCCCACATTGTAATATGTATGACATACAGCTTGCATGCTTTCAGGTTACGGAGTCATGTGCTGAAACACAACATACTGTAACATTGCATCTTTCGATTATCACCTGTTATCTTTGATTGAACAACGTCGTCGTACGAACTAATACCCAGCGCAGAGTTGTATTAACATACATTCATTTATAAAACCAAAACTATTAGTCTTTCATTCCCGAGACCATGCACCGTATACCAAACGCTAATCCTGGGTACAGCAATAAAGATTCTCCTGCTTTTTGATATTAGATTTGTAAAGTACTTTATGTTATCGTAAACTGCCCCCGCGATTATCTCTGTACGATAATTTATTTTTGGTAATGATCACCTGAAAGGATCTGATTTGAGCTATAATCGCCCATCATTGATAATTTGATTTTTTGTTATCAAGCAGGTTTTTTTACCTGATGCGTATGACACATAGATGGATCCATCAGAAGCAACAAGCTCCCTTTACAAGAAAAGACGCTACAATGTGTATAATTTGCGCCATATGGAACAGCAAAACATGACAATAAGTAATGAGAACACATGTGCTGCGTGAAATATGTGAAACTGGTATTTTCTAACCGTTTTCATAATACTTGTCTAACAGACATATATGGGCAATGAGACAATTGAAGGTAGTTCCATATGATAAAGAAAGTAACCGTGCGTTTAGTCAATGACTATTCGTGAGGCACGAGTTGCAATTCAAGCCAGGTCTATCGCATCTGGCCAAACTATTAAGTCACTAGTACTAGCGAGGTCAGTGCGACAGGAGTAAGGACTGCAGGGGTAGGCTACGGTCAATCTTCGGATTAACTAGTCCAATAAAGTATCGATACATACTAACTTTTGATACAGTATAGCCCTACATAATTATACCTTTTATTATGTATGAGTAGACAATAAAGTCATTTGGCAAGTCAAAGATCATGGAAAATGAGGTAATTTATCTAATATTACATCTTATTTGTAAAGGGCAATATGCCATTGTTGCCTTTTTTATTTCATCAGGCTAGTTAATTGAGAGATGTGACTTGTATGGCTGTCTTCAATGACAGCAGTTGTATATTGCGTACTATAATGTACTATTTATTTTGGCATGTCCGAACGAGGTAAATAGTGCCACCTAATAGTCTATTAAGACAACAGAAAAATAGAAAACCATGCATGTCCTTATTAGTGTTGCGGTCGGCTGTATGGGTTGACGTAGGCGTGTTCGCCGATGGGGGGATGTTCAATTAACTTTAGCTCAGCTCCTTATTCGGTGATTGCTTTTGCGACTGCGTCTAGACTACAGGTGGCCTAATTTAATATTAACGTGCGTGCTTCTTCATATGATCTACCTGCTGTACACGTATTAGAATAAAGTACAGCGTGTAACAAAAAAAAAATTGGAAAAATTATCGCGTAATGTAAACAGCTCTAACTCACCCAATTTGGATCCAAATTGCGGCGAAGTTTTGTTTTATATATAATAAAGGGTTTATTTTGGTATTATTATGTAACTTTTTTCATAATTTATTTCAAAATGTCTTATGCCGAAAAGCAAGCACAACGTCAAGCTATATTACATTTTCGGAACAAGGGTGTCAAATCTGCACATTCTGACCAAGATACTGTACCACCATCAACAATCTATAAAAACTGCGTAAGGGAGGTAATGACCGACCTAAAAAAATTACGCGTAGTGCAGCACAAACCGTCGGTCGGTACATTCGAAGAGACACGTCTTTGTCACTGAGAACTTTGGCAACTAGGCTGACAGCAAAAAGTGTCAATGTATCTCACATGACAGTTTCGAGATATTTGAAAGACGATGGTTACCAGAAAAGCATTCCACGGGCCACCCCTATGTTGACTACCAAACATAAAGAAAAGCGCGTTGAATGGGCAATTAAACAGCTAAACAATGACTGGTCAAACACATTATTTAGTGATAAAACGGCTTTTTAACTGTTTAGAAATACAGTTTCTCGCTGGCATTAGGGAGAAAGACTAGTCCGATGCATTCCAAAAGATAGAACGAAAATTATGGCGTGGGGTAGCTTTTGTATAGAAGGCAAAACCTCGCCGTTTTGCAAACCTGTATGTAGACATTAGTAGAAGACATATTTTCCAGAGATTAACCAAATGTTGGGAGACAATTGGCGATTCCAACAAGACAACGATCGCAAACATACCAGCAAAATTGCCAAATCGTTTCTCAGCAATAACGTGCCCAACTTAATGGACTGGCCATCTAACAGTCCAGATCTAAATCCAATTGAAAATCTCTGGAACATTGTCAAGACAAACGTAGAAAAAAGACTACCGAAAAATCGTGGTGATTTGGTGTAATTTATTAAAGAAAGAATGGGAGAAAATCCCGATATGGTTCTAATTAATTTAGTTAACTCAATGCAAATACATTGCGAGCTTTTTATTGAAAAACAGGGTAAAAGAATACCATATCAATTTATAATTAAATAAATCCAGAAGTCTTGAAATTTTAAATGAGCTATTCCATATTTATTTTCATTCACTGGTCGTTCTTC